TGAAAAGCCGAAAATTGAATAATCATGCAAATTAGGTAATTAGTATTATACATATCTGTCTGTGCAGTGCTATTTCAGTGTAAAAGCCGAAATTATTTGACTTTACAAATTAGTTGAATAAAATGCACACATTTTACCCAAAATTAATCAGGTTTCAACATTGTTCTAGAAAATATATATATACCAAGTTTCATTGAAAAGTAATAAAGTAATATTACTTGAAGTATGAAAAGCTGAAAATTGAATAGTTATGCTAATTAGGTAATTAGTATTTTACATATCTGACTGTGCATTATCCTTCGTGTCTATGTAAGTCTATTGAAATGTGATGATTGGTACCCGAGATATCAGTGAAAAAGCTGAAAATTTAATAATCATTATGCAAATTAGGTGTATTATATACATGGATATTTACCCAAAAACTAATCAAATCTATGCATAACTGCAGCTAAATATTAGCTAATTAATAACCTAATAAGGTATAAGGTAATTAACTAATTTTAATCATTTAAAATCTAACCAAATCTGCACATTAGCACAGAGCAACTATGTACCAAGTTTCCCTAAAAATTAACATATGGTTTATCAGCGGAACGAACAGACAGACATACACACAGAGTTCCAAATACATCCATACTTTCTCCTATGTACGAGATGGAGTACACTATTTAACCTTAATTATTCGAAATAAAGCACATTCACCCGGGTACTCTTGGACGGTCACGCTAAAATGCAGATATTCGCCATCTTACTCACACTGGAGTGGTTATTGTGGTGAGTATTTAATTAATGTACAATCTATAGACCTTGGTTGGGAGTCGTGTTTCACAGTACATTGCATGATTTTCTATCGTTTATTTGTGCAATGGTTTCATTGCCGCGTCAACATGGGCAGTACTCTATGGCTGTCACCATAGCTCTACTGTGTCGACAATACCAGATCGACACAAGCGGAGCTATGGACCCACAGCTATATCAAAGCGTGACGTCATTTGACATCGTTTACGATGTAAACAATATGGCAGCGCCCATGTAACGAGCCTGTAGGTCTCATGCCACTAATCAACCAATGGCTGCTCGTAGCTGATGAATTGAGACTTTTGATTCAGTAGATTTTTTTATAATAATAGTAATAAACTACCTTTCATAGTCATAATTCTATGTAATTATTTTTAGAAATTAATTAAAATTACCAATCATGCCAAATGTTGGTCTGTACTTGTATGTGGTGAATGAGGACATTATACTTTACAGTACTGCATCTAATAATCAGGCTTATATTCATTGCCTACCATATAATTTGGTGTTATGCTGAGTGTGTATGTTGCCACTTTCTACAACTAATTGTTTGGGTATAGGGCGCCACCAAGGGATAGATTTTGATAAATGACTCCCAGGGTTCAAATTTTGGGGATTTTTTTTGCATGGGAAATTACTCGTCTAATGATATATAAGATAAACATAAACAAGAACTTTATTAAACCTTCTTATTTCTGTTAAGGTCTCATGCCACTAATCAACTCAATTTAAATGCCTAGCAAGAACCATTGAAATGTTTTAATTTTTTTTTCTCAGGTGTCCCTGTTTGAGGGCGTGATCACCTGGGTCAAAGGTGAGACAAACATGTGGTCTTTTGTTTACTACTTAGTGACTGTGTACCTGTGAGTTTATTCTGTGTGTATTTGGATGTTCTAATCTTGGTATTTTTCTAGTGATTTCTCTAGATGCAATACAAATGCAGTAGGTGTGTGAGATTTGCAAGAGTTTGAGCTAGCCAACATTTTAGTTTTTTTCAAGTGGTTGACTAATGGCATGTAGATTTCCTATTTTTGAGCCATGTTTTCATTTTTGTTCATCATTTTCATATAACAATCTCGTCATATGTTAACACTGTCGTCTATGGAAATTCAATTAGTGGTATGAGCGAGTTTCCTGCATGACAACAGTGATCGTGACATTCATCTTGCTTTGATTTACTAGTAATAGACCAGTGCACTGTGCTGTGACCGACCAAAGACAATCACTTCCAGCATTGCCTGTTGTATCTGACAGTGAATTGTTGGTGTTGATATAAAGTTTGATTGTGTTATGATACAATCAGCATTTACTGAGAAATAGTAATTACAGGTATAGTTATTATTACTAGTTAAGGAAAATATCAAAGAGAAGTATACCTTCAGTATATTTGTTAAAGCGAGGTTAGAAGTTGTTTTGATTTGTGTCCGACTGTGTTGCCATGATGACAGGCCGCATATTTGAAGGTAAATTTCCATTGTTTGGCGTATCACATATAGTAGGGTTGTTTTTGTACACATCTCGTCTTTAGTTGCATATACATTTTGCAATAGTAATAAAAACCTTCATTCGGATCCATATCCAAACAAGATTTGTATGTGACGGTCACCTGGGTAACTCAGGTCAAGTGTGTGACCTTTTGAATGCGCCCTCTAGTGTTATAATTCGCATAAAGTATATTTTGACTAATCTGTCATTAAACCTGTTGATTGATACAGACCTCTTGTTTTCACTGTGTTGTATGCCTTGCATGGTACCGAAGTCATCTGCGACGATAGACCTGTTAGCCCTAAGATTATTACTCAGATTAGTATTTGTTTTTCTCCCACTTATAGTCCCTTTCAGTCGGTACTGGGAAGTGAGAAGTTTACAACTGTGTCGTAGAAATGATATCCCCAGTACTCTATGGAAGTGAAAAAATCACAGGGTAAAAATGTTTTGTGACACACTAACGCATTGAAGTGATAAAGTTGGTATAATTCATATTTGTAGAGCCTGGCACGAAATAATCATGATTGATTTCAATGATTTCTGTGTGTCAACATAAAATTTCCACTGATTATTAAACAGCCTTTTTTCTTATTGTGCATGTATTTTTTACGAGCAACTTATTGTAAAATTCAAGAGTAGTTTGAGTCGAACCTGCCCAAAAAACTAACATATGGTGTGTATAACTTGTAGATACAATAAATGTGTAAAAGCAGCACATATACTTCAACGATAATTTGAATTTAAATAATTAATCTTTTTTTCAATAAAAAAATATGAACGTTAGTACATGTCACATTAATTTAAATAAACACATGACGTACAAAGCGTGCTTTGAGTTACATGTCAATTAGGTGACATTTAAAAAGAAACATGTGACTTATATGTGATGGGAATGTTAATCCATGTGATGTAGTTCTCAGGTTTTAAACAGAAATCATATTATTACTAAGAATGATATATGTTCAACTCACTGCAATTCACGCGATTTTACTATGTAGTGCAGCATACTTTGAAGTTGTTATGATTTCTTTTGTTAATTTCTACCAGTCGTTTGTTTTGTGTTTTGAAAATGTCTCCAATATTAAAATCTACTATTTGGTATGTTATTTCCACTATTAAATCACTGGGAACCATTCTGACTACACAAAGTCAATAACTAACTCTCTTCGTAATTAAAGTGAGATTTTTAATGTTAATTACTTTTTAGCACACAATAACGTAATTCAACTGATTATACTCATTCTGAAGCTAGACTCATACAAAGCGAATCCAGTTATCGGATTTCAAATGATATTTTACACATCAAAGGCTCACCGATCAAAGCACACCTTAGGCTATGTTGCACAAAATAATAACAGCTCTCCATATATTATAATTAATCATATGCGGCACAATATGTGAAAAATATTTGATGACCAAAATTACAACTTTACGTTTAATGATCTAGCCAATACAAATAAATTATGCGTCATACTTAAGTGCTCTCAGTCAAACCATATTATGATTATAACTATATGGTATTATTAGTTATAATTGAAAATTATTTGTAAACTGACATATACCTGCATATTCACATTAATATATTTACCGATAATGGGAATTTAGGTATATACTTTGGAAATAAACATTACTTTACTGAAACTTTACTAGATACCTCTCTGACTACACACGTAGACAACTGATTTCAATGAATTATTAGTTTTATGTGATGATAATTTATTCATAGCACATTCACACATATTAACGTAATTAAATGCTAGTTAGGATGCCGGACATGTACCAACCATATTCAGTTACCGTTTTCGAAATGTGATTGCACACATCAAAAACTCAGCGACGAAGACACACCTGAGGCTATGCTGCACCAAATACTAAACAGCTCTCCATAGTTATATTACTATGCGGTACTATACGTTCCAGTGATAAACAATTATGGTTATTTATACCAAAATTTACCCTTTTATGATAAACATTAAATTACTTTTAATAAACTCGCCAACACTAATATACCAACACAAATCGTATCTGACTTTAATACTTGTAGTCAAAAACTGTCCTGGTTAAACACATATGGTGTGGAAACAATAAATACAATTAATTCGTATTCACAGCACATAAACTCATAATCTCATTTGAATATTCTGCTGATAGTAATTGAGTTTGGAATATGAAGTTAAATCACCGTATATCTTCCTTGTCAGAGCATGTCTCATTATTTAATTGATTAGGACTAAGGTCACATGCAATTCAAATGAACGTGTCACCTTGACAAAGACAATTTAATTATATGATGGGTAGTAATTGGAACTCATTGCAGCTTTTAATCGTTTTATTAATTGTTCCATCTAGTTTAATTGATTATTGACTGAATTCACAACACATTAAGCTATAGTTTAAGGTAAAACACTTATATAATAATGGCAGTGCAAAAACAACTATAGTAGCGTAGTTACGGTAATAGTGTGCACATATTAACATAAATAAAACGATTTGGTTTAGAGAATCCGGTTCGTGCATATATGAGATACAACATTTGTAAACTCAGCACGATGTTGTGTTGGTACATCGAATGCATAATCGCATTAAAGTTTTTTTTTGCAGATATTGTCTAAACATATGGTAAATACTGTTTGTTTCACCGCATCTCTGCTCTTTGAAGTACCCGGTGATGTAATATATAAATACAACTAAACTGAAAACTATTCACACACCTGGACTCGGCTGTCAGCGTGCGTAAATTGCTTCGAGTGAAGATATATTCAAAATGCATTCCAGTTATTTTCTGTTAACGCTGGTAGCGTTGGTCTGTGTAAGTACTACCTATATATTATAAATATTCCTCAATTTTATTACAAAACATTAACATGGGATTTCCACTACACAAATTCAATATGATTGATGGTAAAGTATGTGTTTGCGCAGTTGATCGCACGAGTCAGTGGGTGTTGATGATTGTATACACTGCATCATGAAAACCAACAACAATATAAGTCAGCTAGTGTAGGTTGTGTATAGATAGTCTGTCTTACTGTATATCTTTCTGAACATGCATGGTGTAATTTTAAATAATGGCCCTTTTTATTTCCAGTTGTTTGCCATTTCTACCGACGGTCAAAAGTGTAAGTGTAATATATTATATTCAGCTACGATCTGTCATGATACATTCTTGCTATTACTAGAACGTAACACACTGTTACTGTAATTCCCAAGACGAACAATTTCCTTTAGAAATATAATATTGGTGATAACTATTTGTTAACTGAATTGTTATTTTGTAATGTCTGGTTTGAGAACAGCTGTCCACAAAATAATAGACGTGAAATTTGTTATTATTATTGGTATTGCATCACATATTAAATAACATATATAATATACTGGTGTGAACATTCTTCATAATTACTGATGTAGGGGGAACAGCATGTGCAGATATGTGTGATGGTCAATGTCGTAAAAAACACTGCAATAGGGATGAATACGAGTCAAATAATCAATACTGCAAGGGCGCCTGTGATGCTCAAAATGGTCGGATATGCTGTGTGAAAGGTAAGCATTCAACAAACAAGCTTTTTGGATTTGGTTTTTATTCATATATAATTTCATTTTGTGGACAATATATAATGGTTTAACATTCACTTGAAACTTTCATAATCGCTGTACTAATTGCATCACATTTTAGTAAGTGAAAAATAACAACAAATAATTTGTTTCTTTTATTATTCCTACTTTGTGCTTGTGAGTTCAGATTTTACAAAGTGTATTTGTGTATTTTTCCACAGACCAGCCAGTAATTAACTGCGAATCTGACTGTGGTGGTACATGTCGTAAACATTGCAAACGTGGCGAACAAGATGCGGAACCCGTAGATGAGTGTGTTGAAAGTTGTCCAACGGATTATAGGTGTTGTGTGCCAGGTGAAATTTCACACTTAACAATCTGAGAACCTATATGCTTTTTTATATCATGAATAAGCGATATTTTGTATTACTCTGTTATACTTTAATCCGTAAAATCAAACTTTAACATGTTCAACTTTTATTCTAATTTAGATGAGGAAGCGTGTAAAAATGATTGTAATGGCCAGTGCCGTAAAAATCACTGCAACAGAGATGAATATGAATCATATGAACCAAGTTGTGTAAAAGATTGTGGTGATAAAAAAGGTCGGATATGCTGTGTTCCAGGTACATTTTACCCATCTCATGGACACGTATTTTGGGTTTCGTTTTTATTAAGGACGATAGTAATTGATGAAACATTAAATACAGATTTCTGTACTATAATTTCATTTTTAGGACAGGGTACATTGGTCGCATGCGCGGCTGCAAAATATTTATCACATTTTTGTGAATGATTTCAAAAATTGTACATTGAATACAAATAAACCTAATTTATGTTGCTTTTGCATGGGGTGTAAAAGACAACAAAATAACATTTTTTTCCTAAATTCTTCCCACATTGTGCCTGAGAATTCAGATTTTACAAGATTTTGATGTCAATTTTTCCGACAGAAGAACCAGAATACGAATGCGAAGGAAACTGTGGCGGCAAATGTCGTAAACATTGCAAACGCGGTGAACAAGATGCGGAGCCCGTAGATGAGTGTGTTGCAACGTGTCTACCTGGTTATAGATGTTGTGTGACAGGTAAGATTTCATACTTAACAATCTGAGAATCATTATGTTTTTTTTTTATCTTGACAATCCATTAATAGGTCATGAACAAGTTCTTATACACTGACACTTTAACCCGTGAAAACAAACTGTATTTTAACATGTTTCACTTTTTCATTTTTTATTTTCAATTGAAGATGAGGAAGCGTGTAAAAATGATTGTAATGGCCAGTGCCGTAAAAATCACTGCAACAGAGATGAATACGAGTCTAATGAACCGAGCTGCATGAAAGATTGTGATGATAAAAAAGGTCGGATATGCTGTGTTCCATGGTAAGGTTTCACACAACCGTCACCATTTGGATTTTGCTTCTATTTAGGTTGTTGTACTTCAACGTATCACACACATCACAATAAAAACATGTGGGAACAAACTATGTCAAGCAACATTGTTCTTTCTAAAAAGATAACAAAAGTACATTGCACAACTAAATGTATTTTCAGGTGATTATATTTTTGAACTCTTTGTCACGTGTCAGTTTCCAAATTAAATAATCATTAACTACCAAATATATTCATATTCTCATACCAACATAAATGTAACTGAATATTTTTTCTTTGCAGATATCACTACCAGGCATCCATAAATAACCAGCGAGATCTATAGTTTGTCTTATGTAAAGAATAAATTTAGAACTTAGATTATGAATAAAGCATATAAAAAGCACGATGTTTGTCGTAAATATACAATAAAGAGCGATTTTAAAGACTCTTCTGGAGTCCAATGGCGTTAGACAAAAGTGTTGGATTAGTGATACATTCTGCTGTGAAATATTTAAGAAATAATATTCATATTAAATATACGCATAAACTTTACTTAATTTACTTACCAATTTGACACGTATTGGATACATTCAGAAAGCTGTACGTTATCAGAAGCGGCGTACATGCAAGTTGTAAGAAAATATTTAACAGTGTTGCCACAGATGTATTGAGCGCGCTTCCACTGCGCAATTTCGCTAAGGAACTATAAAATAGACAGGGTATGGCACAGCGCAGTACATTTTTAGACAAACCGCGTACCAGACTTCTCGTTAATTATGATATTCGTAGCTGATGGTTGAGTGCCAAAAACCACATTCTCGCTATTGTAGTGTAAAATGGTACGTAATTTATATGTGATGGTTTTGAAAAATCTTGATGAATACATAAATAATCCCAATTTTTCATTTACATATTGAAAGCGTTGCTTAATGAGCATATTATTTGTGTTATCACATTTTTACGTCGGCGGTACAAATATTGTTCAAAATCAGTACTTTAGGCGACACTATAGGTACGACCATGATGGGCGCTGTTCACGGGATGACGTCATAACGATGACTTTATATTGGGATGGGCAAATAAATACACGTCACTTTGAAAATTAACGGAGTTTATTACACAAAAGAAGACATTTTAAAATGGTTGAAATACATAGGGTATACATTTTGACAGAAAACTAGTAAGATCAGTTACATGAAATATATTTGTTTTTTTTGTTTTTGTTTTGTTTTGTTTTTGAAGTAATTAATCATAAATTGAAATGGTATACATTCTCAAACGCTGTTAAGTATTCACACTGAGTAATATAAGAATAATATTCTTAGGAGTAGTAATTAGAATTAAAAAAATTACATTTTTAAAAAAGGTTGAAATACATGTAGTATACATTTTCAAACGCAGTAAAGTATTCACACTGAGTAAATAAAAATGGTTATACATGACATTTAAGGTAGCGGGACTATTATTTGGATACTTGTTTTCATCTTCCAGTTGTGACCGGGACATCCAAATGTGTAAGGCTATTGGAAACCAAAAAAAAATAAAGGAATGGGATAGCTATAATTGGATAAATTCGGCATATGAAAACACCAAAATGAATGACTTTTTTCAGTGGCTGTGTGACCTTGTGTCTAATGCATTCATATGTAAATGACTAATCTGTGAAACAAACAGGGGCGGAGACAAACCACTCGAATGTTTGGAAACACTCATTGTGTGTCAGATAGCTACTGATAACACATCCTAACATTGCTTTGTCTTGAGTTTATCTTTGAAACTTATAGGCACACAGATTAAACCTGTGTTGCTGATTTTGGAAAACACTACTGAGGCTGCCTTGCTTCCCTTCAGAAAATCTACATTTTAACCAACTTACATGACATTCTATATTATGTTGACTTTATCACATGAAAGTTTATAGTGCATTTCATCAATTAATAAATAAATGTGAAAATCGTAATTTTCAACACAAATAATAGTCTCGTTACCTTAAAAAACAAATGATTAAAAATGATAGCAAACTAGATTGAAATAAATAGAATAGGGTTAGGGGTCAGCAGAAAACTC